ACTGGTTTTAAATCCAGTAGCATCATATCATTTATCATATAGCCTGTATAAAAATATCTCTGGCACCTTTAAAAAATATGGAGAAATGCCAAGTCCCCTGCACTTTTATTTCCTCTGTGGCTTTCATCAGTCTAGTCAGGTATTGTTTCCCTCTAATAGATTATACCCACCCACCTCTTTCCTGGGTGTCTTTCTCTACCCATCTGAAGTACATTCTGCAAAAAAGGCCCTTGTGAGTTTTGCCTCCCTGAATCAAACTTTTACGCACTTTCATCCCCATGAATCTATAATGGCCCTGCATATCACTTCACCAATAAAAGATAGAAGAAACTAAGCTTTTAAGAAGACATGGAAATTTGTATTTGGTGATACTGGAATTTAGCCAACATGTAAAAATTCTAACCACCCTGCAGAAGAAAAAGAACATTTGGAAATGCCCTGGAGGACAAGCTACCAAGCAGAGAAAACGGTAACACAGAATGCCAAAACAACAAATATATGAGTGAAGATGCCATTTTGGAAGTTCCAGTCCACCTGAGTTTTTAGTACTCCAACCCCAGACATCATCTCATTGCAACTGCATAAGAAACACCAAGGCCGTCAGACATAAAAATCATCTATCTGAGCTTCATCAGCCCACAGAAATGTGTAAGATAATAATAAAAGGGTTTGGGATGAACTGCAATAAAAAAATCTTCTTTCCCTATTATAAGCATACTTGAGAATTTTATTAGCATGACATGATCACAGGTACTCCAGCAGAAAATCAGAGGGTGGAAAGAAGACCCAGTTCAAGGGAGACACATTGCAGTCAGAAAATACTATGTCTCTTACTACTTCTTATCTTTTAGACTTATCTTAGTACTTAGTACTTGTCTTTTAGTACTTCTTACCTCTGGATCATCCTGCCAGAGCTTGGATTCTAAGAACAGCAAGTGAGGTCAAGAAAGTTCTGCTGTATGCTGAAAGTAGACTATAGACCAAACATGACTGCCACTCAGTGCCTCTTTTGCAAACCACAAAACCCAAAAGAAGAGAGAGAACAAAAGGGAATGCCCTGCCATAGACGCAGGGTGTGATGGGGGAGATGGGGGGTTGGGAGGGATGCTGGGATCCATGGTGGTGGAAAGTGGGCACTTGTGGAAGGACGGGTATTTGATTATTGTATAATTGAAATCCAAGCACAAAAATTTGTAAGTCTACAACTGTACCTCATGGTGTTTCACTAATCACTGTCACTGTCACTTGTCCTCCCATTGTTCATCGTTTTGCTCGAGCAGGCCCAGTAACATCTCCATTGTGACAATTGTTACTGTGTTTGGCATATCGAATACAACACGGGTAGCTTGCCAGGCTTTGCCGTGCGGGCGATATACTCTCAGTATCTTGCCGGGCTCTCCAAGAGGGGCACAGGAATCGAACTCAGGTTGGCCATATTGGCTGCTTGCAGGGCAAACGCCTTACCCACTATGGTATCGCTTCAGCCCGTTTCACTAATAAAAATTATTCTCCTAAAGAGCCTTGAATATAATCTCAGGGCTAGGATGAAGGAGACGTTACTGGGGCCTGCTCAAGGCAATTGACAAATAAAAATTTAAAAAAAAAAAAGTTCTGCAATTATATTCCAGCCTTCTTAATTCACCCATTCCACCTCCCAGATTTCCCAAATGCTCTGAAATTTATTTTCCAATGAACTATCTTCCAATTAACTAATTTCTGCTCTTAGCTCAAAGCAAGAGTAGCTAATAAGAAATTCAATGGCCAGGGTCAGCTCTTCAGCTACTGGGTCTTTCCAGGTATTGAAAATGATGTCTGACACTCCAGCTTTTCCCTGGGAAGGAAGATCAGGGCTTTTTCTTTCAGCTATAATACTTTTCTCACTAGCTGCTTCTCAGTCTTCCTATATCCCAAAAGTCTGGTGGGAACTCCGCTAAAGGGCCTCCATATCTATGAGGTAAACTCAGGCATAACTTGATAGTGGCAAAATATGTCTCTAAAACCTCCACTCATTGCCCATCCCACATTTCTTAAATAATAGAAGCGTTCTCAGCTTCTCTCCTTGTTCATTGTTAAACTAACTCTTAAGAAAAAAATTTTCACTGTTTATATGTTAGAGTCCATCTCATGGCAGCTGTGGATCTTACCTATCAGGTCTCCTCCCTTTTCTAGAAGGAACATGTTGCCAGATACTTGATTACCAGAATGCTTGTGACTAGTCCTTGACCACCAGAGCCACCATATGCCTCCATGTGAGCCAAGGATTCCCTAAAGGCCACCACATTTCCTTGGAGTCTTGATCAAAGAAATTTCTCCAGTAACTGGGATAAGAATCCAAAAATGCTATTTCTCTCCTGGGTTGCTGGCCACAAGAGCAGATCTTTCAGCTTCTTAGAACTAGTTTCTAACTACCCCCTATGTGGTGTATTTCCTGCAAAAGCCCAAACCTATTAGTTTCTCCCTACTCTTTCTTCATATGAGTTAAGAAGTCCGCGAATGTCATTTTTGTCTCTTCAGCTATGCAGTCTCTTCCCAACCCTCCCACAGAAGTTCAGTGGAGACTATTTTCTCTATATTTGCCTCCCCAACTACTCCCTTGAACCTCTGAACTCCATGTCCCAAGCAAGATCAGTGTTCAGGAACCCTGGATATTCTGTGAAACTTTCCACCTTCAGTCAACATCTGTGGACCCTTTTCCTGGCCTCTGGCTTCTACATTAATACCTAGGCTTGATAAATACCTAGTAGGTATTTCTCCACTCTCTAATTTCAATCGCTGGCCAGTCAACCATCAGCAGCCACCAAAAACAACATAAGAACTCTGTATGCCTGTCTTTGATCACATACCATTCCTAAGAACTCTGGCTGCTTATCCTCCAGCCCTTCAGATCAAATCTGCTTAAGCACAAAGTTTCAAGATGGAAAGACCTATTAGCTTCCTATCAACTGCTCTACTGGAACTGTATTACCTGGCCCAGAAGCATCCCAGGCCTCAGGGCTCAGGTTTACCACTGTCATTCACCAGTGGAAAAGCCAGCAGTCACCAAATGCAATGAAATTGCCTGGTTACCAGTAGACATGCTCCAAGTAAGGAGCAGCACCAGCAGTTTAGTCTGTAATTATGGGATGTCATCACCAGTTGACCTCAGGGGTCATACTGACCCTTTTCAAAAGAATCTAGGCTTCCCCTCATAGTCTTTTAGCTCTGAAAAGCAGACTACCCTTACTCAGTCATCTGACCTGTTAACCAAATATACAAGCATTATCCTCTGGGCAATTTCCTTTACCTTTCTCATATGCATTTTTTGTGTCTATAAAATAAAGATTGTTCCTCCCTCTTCGCAGAGTTTCCAAGAGAACTGGTAACAATGCAGAATAGTAGTATTTGTTATACTACAGCAGAATAGAACAAATGGAACTCCCTCTCATGGATACCATTCACTGATGGACACTTCAGCCCCATCTTACCATAAGGAAGAAATCTAAAAAGTCCTTAGGAACCAGAGATTTTCTAAGTATGTTTATGGCATGAGAAACAGCTGACCCACTCAAGACTGCCTGGGTTCATCATTCAACTTGTTCCCTGGATCAATTCCATCCTCCCTTTCCTCAAGGAAGAAAAAAGAAGAGCCATTACACTGTCAAAAGGATCACTAGCATTACCATCACCCTGAATCTGAGTGTATCCAGGCTGAGACTACCTAGGATATACACCCCACAGGTCAGACATTCAACAGCTGAATTTTCCACACAAGTATTTCTTGGAAATGAATGGATACCAAAAGAATCCTATAACTGAAGTGTATTTCTGTGGGGCTTGACTTATCAACGACTCAGAGCTTTATAAAAAGGATTGACTTGCTTTCTCTCACATCTGAATTCCCAAATGGAGCTAGGAATGCTGAGGAACATACCTGTGTCTCTGCTATATGTACAGGTTCTCAAAATACTGAAGGAGAGCGTTTCAGAACATGGACTTTGAAACCTTTTAGTGAAAGGTCCATGGAGCATAACCTTGGGTTAAATGCGACTAATTTAAAGAAAGAATTTTGTTGCTCTCTGATTCTGAAAGAAACATAATGTACCTCACTGAGGTCAGGCTCTATTTTTAATAATAGAGTCTATTTCCAAAGGATACTTCTCCAGCAAACTTACTCTCAAATCATTTCACCCCTATCTTTTTTTGTACTGCACAGACCATTCTCGGTAGAATCTGCTACTTTGTTGTTTGCGAAGTAGGTGCAGTGTTCAATTCTAAATGAAGTCCATCTCCACGACCTGGGCTGTGTTTTACCAGAGCATTTCTGCAGACTTACACGCTCACAGGTAACCACTCATTTGGTCTTTATAACAATACCAGGCCATGAAAGCTTTTACTAAAGGCAGTGTCCTAAAGGGCATTCCTCCCCTCTCACCCCGCCCAAAGGACTTTAGAAACTTCGATTCCACTCAGCATATGACCATGAGCTCAGCGATTAGCACAAGGCCTCCCAACTGTCACTCGGACAAAAAACAGCCAGCCGACTTGGCTCAGCCCTGGGACCCGGCCAGAAGAAGCCCAGAACACAGTCACACCCAAGTTCGGAACTGAGATTTGGGCCAGCAGAGAGGGCACTCACTTGGGCCTCAGCACCACCACATGTCCGGGCAGGCTGGGCTGCACAGTGAGCAGCGCCGGCAGCAGCCCGTGGTCCCTGGGTGGGCAGGCCGTGCCGCTGACCCGGGGCCACCTCCGAGCATCTCTCCTGCAGCGTCCACCCAGGAGCCCTTCGCAGGCCCCGCGGCCAGTCCCCGAATCCACACACGCAACAAGTCGCCGCTCCCCCAGGCCCTCCCGCCTGCCCTGACAGCCCGGCCCGGGGCGCCCGCCTCGCGCTGCCCACGCCTGGGAGCCGGGGCCGAGGCGCTGCTGGCACTCGCACCCCGGACCCGCGCTGCCCCCGCGCCGCCCCCCGCGCTGCCCGCAACAGGTCGGCGCGCCGCGCCCCGCGCCCGCCCGCTCACCTCCAGCAGCTGCACGTAGCTCGCGGGAAACCAGCCGCGGCCGCCGTCGTCCTTCTCGCCCTCCCACCAGCCGCCGTCCGGGACCTGCAGCAGCGTGAGCAGCTCGCCCTCGGCGAAACGCAGCCCCTGGCCGTGCCGCTCCCCGGAGAAGGGGTACAGGGTCCGGCAGCGCGCGCCGGACATGGCTCCGCGCCGCTCACCACACGGCCGGCATCCCCGCCGCGCCCCCCTCCCGCCACGGGAGACGCGCGCGGGGCGCGGGGCCGGCGCGGGCTGAGGAGACGGGCGGCCGCGGCGCGGGCTGAGGAGATCGGCTGCCCCGGTTCGGGCTGAGGAGACCGGCGACCCCGGCGCGGGCTGAGGAGACGGGCGGCCCCGGAGCGGGCTGAAGAGACCGGCGGACCGGCTCCGGGCTGAGGAGATCCGCGGCCGGGGTTCGGGCTGAAGAGACCGGCCACCCCGGCTCGGGGCTGAAGAGACCCGCGGCCCCGGTGCGGGCTGAGGCGATCAGCGGCCCCGGTTCGGGCTGAGGAGACCGGCGACCCCGGCTCGGGGCTGAGGAAACCCGCGGCCCCGGCGCGGGCTGAGGAGATCGGCGGCCCGGGTTCGGGCTGAGGAGACCGGCGGCCGCGGCTCGCCTGGGGGCGGGGCCCGGGGGGGAGGAGACCGAGGCGCCGCGGGCTCCAAGGCAACTTCCCGGGAGCACCGAGAGCGCCAGGCGAGCCGGGGGCTGGCCACGTGCGAGCGCCGCTGCCCAGGGCGTCCGGCGCCGCGCCCCCGCGACCAGGTTTCTCCGCTGGTGGGTGGCCTGGCGCGGTACGGCTGAGGAGGCGGTGGCCTGGATGGGAACTCCCCGCTCACAGCCGCACCACAGAAACCCCTGAGTAGAAACCTCTGTTGGCCTCGCTAAGTGGTCTGTGAGGGAATGCGTTTGTGGCCCTCACTATCGAGGTAGGACCTGGGGATGAGCTTGCCTCAGCAGAAGCTAAACAGTGGGTGAAAGACAGGTTTGGAGGCTTATGTCTCAGCTGTGGAGTCTGGCATCAGGCAGTGTGTTCGCCCAGAAAGACCAAGCAAAGAAGCGGTGGAGTCGGAGTTGAGAGAATTGGAAGCCGACCAATGTGGATAAAATGGAAGAAAAGAGAAAAGAGGTTGAAGAGGTAATATAGGGCGCTCCTTGCACTCAGCCAACCCAAGTTCCATCCCAGCACCCCATATGGTCTCTTGAGCTCTGCAAGGTGTGATTCCTGAGCTCAGAGCCAGGAGTAAGATCTGAGTACAGCCTGGTGTGAGAAAGGGAGGAAGGGAGGGAGTGTCTCCAACTTCTTTGCCAGGGAAGGTAGGCTCACCCAAGGTACCTACTGTTCTGAAGTTGACCTTGAACAAGAGTTTAGAAGTAAAAGAAATCTGAGTTTGCTAACTTACTCTCTGGTAAAACAAATTCATTTTCTTAAGTTGTAAAATATCTGAACCCTTTTAGTTCTCTCTATGCTTCTAATACCTTACTTTACATCCTGGTTATTAACCTTCCGTAACTTCTAATAGTTCATTAAATCTAAATTTCTCAGGCTATGAATTTCTGTTTCTCCACAAAACCTACCTAGATGCCTTTTATGTAAAAATACAGTCCAGCTTGTCCTGAAAAGAATACAACTGGTAGGGCACTTGCCTTGCTGATGCCTGACAAGTGGGTTCAATCTCCAATATCCCATATGGTCTCCCAAGCTCCACCATAAGTGATCCCAAGCACAGAATCAGGAGTAAGCCTTGAGCACAGCTGGGTGTGGCCCCTCTCCAAAAAAATAAAAAACCCAAAAAACAGCCTGGCCAGACTATAAGATCTTTAAAGTCTTGCACATTTTATTAATGCATTGAGTCAAATTCCAGCACAATCTATCCTTTAATAGAACAGCTCTATTGCAACTCAGAATCCTCTAAGGTTCTAATGAGCTAGGTAGTTGTGGTGCACTTTAAATTAATCCTGCACAACTTCCCATATAGTTTAGCTCCAAATGATTCAACAGAGCAGTTCCTGCAGCACCAAACTTGATAATGTGTATCACTTAATCACTTAATCACTTAATCCCCGTTATTCATCGATTTATTCGAGCGGGTGCCAGTAACGTCTCCATTCATCCCGGTTGTGTGCTAGCATAGCACAATGGTATCTGTTCGTTCTAGGAACATGCAGAGCCTCAAACCAATCATTTAGGGTCTTGACGAAGAAGTCTGACCATCTTATAGGTGGGCGTCCACGTGATCTTTTGATGTCCCGTGGAATCCAATCAGTAATGGCTCTAGTCCAGCGGTTGTCTGTAAACCTCATTACGTGTCCAGCCCATCTGATTTTTGATGTCTTGGCAAATGAGACAGCGTCCCTGATTCTTGAGCGTTGACGAAGATCAGAACTCCGGATTCTATCCCTCATTTGAGTGAATCGTGATATTCCAAGCATAGCTCTTTCGATTCCTCTTTGAGAGACCCGAATAGCGTTCTCATCCTGTTTTCGTAGGGTCCAGGTCTCTGAGGCATATGTTAATGCAGGAAGAATAGTGGAATCAAAGAGATGTGCTCATAGCTGGAGGTTCTTTGTCCTTTTAGTTATTTCTTCAATGCTCTTGAAGGCATTCCAATGTGTAATTGTAACAATTGTGTAACAATTTATTTATTTTTATTTCTCTAATCTTATAGGCTGTTTTGGTTTTTGCTCCCAATTTATACGTAGAGAAAATAGACTCAACAAATATGACTTGTCCACCATGAGACAGCTAGTCAAGGACATGACCAGGTTCTGGTATCAGACCTGGCACATTGAGTGCTGCTTCCTCTAGTCAAAGTCAGAAAATATATCTTTGTGGTTCATTCCCAAATACAAATTAAGAAAGCACCCTCTGGTTCCTAATAACAATGGATACCTAATAACAGTGTAATAAAAGTAAGAATGAACTAACCAGCAGTGCTGTCCTTGACCTCAAGTGACCTCAGATAAGTCTTCTAACAACTTTGGGCCTGGTCCCCATCTGTGATTGGATGTTGAATCCTGTAACTGGAACATAGGACTTAAGATAGTTAAATTTAATTACGAGTTGAATGTATGGGCAGGCTCTGGATTCCCTATGTTCAATCCTCAGCTCTACTGCTTCGTAGCTGTGTAACTGCTCTTTGAAAATTTCTTGAATCTCTTGAAGTTCTGCTTTTCTTCATCATTAGAAAATGATAGTAATATTTAAATCATAGATATTAGGTCAAGTAATCATAAAAAGAGTGCCAGGTGGTCCATCTAACATCTTAAACTCACTTGTGTGGACCGAAGCAGGCTCTTCAGCCTCGCCCAGTCTAAAGTTTGACACCCACACAAAGGGAAGGCTGGACCCTCAGCTTTTTGCGCCCAGAATTACCCCTCATGGCATCACTTTAAAATCTGTAACCCAAAAAGCGTGCCAACCCTAGTGTGTCTGCATGAAGAAGTTACTTCATCTATGTCTTATATTAGAGTTACCAGTAACCCCAGGCCTTGAGTTTTTCACCTCTCCATAACTCACTGTAACAGCCAAAGACAGAACAACTATAGGGTTCTAAGCACAAGAAACAACACCAAACCACAAAGGTCACAATGGAAAAACATTGCAGAAACTCACCACGCCTAATGAGTGAAATAGCCACCCCCGATGAACTAAATATTAATAATGAACTAAATATTAATATATAACCTCTCAGATAAGAAATTTAGAATGGAGCTGTTAAGAATGCATAAGGAGCTCAAAGAAGAAATGGAATGTACTGTCGTTAAAATACAAGAGGATTTAAGAACAGAAATGAGGAAAATACAAACTGAAATATAAGCAGAAATGATAGACCTGAAAAACTTGATAGGTGAAGTAAATAACTCACTGGAAGGTCTCATCAGCAGAATAAAAACTGCTAAGAACAGAATCCAAGATGTCCAAACAACAGCAGAAGATGAAAAAGAATGTAAAAGTAAACTCACAGATATCAAGAAGAAAATGGGATGGAGTCAATAGGAATAACATAAAGATAATTGTAGTCCCAGAGGAACAGGAAGAAAACCCTGATGAAGAAGCAACTAGCAAAGCCATCATTGCTGGGATGTTCCCAGAGCAGATGAGCTCATGCACCCAAATTCAGGAGGCCTGAAGGGTACCAACTAAAAGAAACCCAAATAAACATACTCCAAGACACATACAACCTAATCAGAATGAGGAAAATTAGAGATAGAGATAGAGATAGAATAATGAAAGCAGCAAGATCAAAGAAGGAAATTACTTAAAAGGAACATCCTTAAGATTTATCTGGTGAAACTCTCTGGGCCTGAAGACATTGTGGGATATAGTGAAAAATCTCAATGAAATGACTACCTCAACAAGAATATTTTACCTAACTAGACTCTCATTCATACTTGAAGGAACAATACACAGATTCACAGACAACTCAGGAATTTCATAGACTCACAACCATGATTATTATAGGAAAAATGAAATGGGATACTTTACAACAAGAAGAGCTCCTTTCAAACACACAAAACTTTTGCAGAAATATGGAACAAAACTCCATAACAATGATATCTCTGAGTGTCAGTGGGCTAAACACACCAATTAAAAGACACAGAGTGGCAGGATAGATCTGAAAATTGGGCCCAATATTCTGCTGCCTGCAAGAAACACACCTGACAAGTCAAAGCAAACACAGACTCAAAGTCAAGGCTGGAAAACAATCAAAAAAGTTTTACAATAAAAAAAATGCCCTCAAAACAACTGGGGTGGCCATACCACATAGACTCCAGACTGAAGAAGGATATGAGACAGTAAAGATCATTTCTTAATGATCAAGGGATCTGTACACAAGAAGAATTCACTTTACTTAATGTATATGCACCTAATGAGGGACCAGAAAAATACTTAAGGCAATTGCTCATAGACTTGAAGAAAGTCACTGATAGCAACTAAGTAGTTGGAAATTTCAACATCACTTTATCACCTTGGGATAGATCAACCAGACTAAGTTCAGGAAAGACATACTTTATTTGAGGGAAAAAAATGGAAAGGAGGTAATTAGCATATGTATATATACTAATATATTTAGTGTATATATGTGTGTGTGTGTGTATACACACACACACACACAACGTTTTATCCCCAGAAAGCTAAATAAGCATTCTTCTCCAGAGATTATGGGACGTTCTCCAAAAATAGACCACATACTGGGCCACAAATCACACCTCCATAA